TTAACTTTTTAACTAGAATGAGTGCTTTGGACTCAAATGGTTAACTTTATGATGGCATTAGTAGAGTCTGCCAAATTGACAAGCTTCCAGATTTATATATAGGTTTACAAATTACTTAAGCATTCCATAGTTTTGTTCTTACTGCTATCTCCAAAGTTTATGTTCTTGACCTGAATAATTAATTTTGAGTTACTGCACTAAAAGAAAGGGTGAACATTACAGTGGAAATGATAATCTTATTTTTTATTTTTTGAGACAGAGTCTCACTTTGTAGCCCTAGGTAGAGCACTGTGGCATCATAGCTCACAGTAACTTCAAACACTTAGGCTCAAGCCTCAGTTTTTCATTTTTAGTAGAGATAGGGTGTCACTCTTGCTCAGGCTGGTCTCAAACTCGTGAGCTCAATCCACCTGCCTTGGCCTCCCAGAGTGCTAGGATCATAGGCCTGAGCCACGGCACCCAGCATTGTTGTTGTTATTTATTTTTTGAGATAGGGTCTTGCTCTATTGCCCAGGCTGAAGTACAGTCATGTGATCATAGCTTACTTCAGCTTTGAACTCACTGAGTCAAATGATCCTCTTGCCTTAGCCTCTTGGGTAGCCAGGACTACAGGTGCTCTACACCACACCCAGAAATTTATCCTGTTTTTGTTGTTGTTGTTGTTTGTTTGTTTTTATTTGTTTTTTAGAGATGTGGTCTAGCTATGTTGCCTAGGCTGTTCTCAAACTCCTTAGCTCAAGAAATCCTCTTGCCTTGGCCTCTCAAAGTGCTGCCATTACAGGCCTGAGCCACCATGCCCAGCCTCCCTTTTATTTTTTTATGTCTCATCTTACCTTCCACTACATCGCGGTAGCTTGAATAACTGCCTAACCTTAGTCAAGTCACCCAATTTCTCTGTGTCTTAGTTCTCTTGTTGGCAAAATTGGGCTGTTGATGACTATCTTATAAGATTATTAGCAAGATTAAATGCAATATGATATGTAATGTATATGGAACAGTTTACATAGGCACTTAATAATTGATAGATTCCTTTCAAGTTCTCAGCTTCTCATCTTAATGCAAGTGTTCTTCATAGGTCTCTCCTTACACCTTTCTTGGGTCTTCTTTCAGAATTAGACATAAGCAGTGACTCCTTTTCCCAGAGAAATGCAGATCTCTTAAACTTTACCTATAGTTTTGGCACTTCATCAACATTTCCCCCC